TTCTCCTCCAGGCCCCTCCGCGCCGGCGGGCCCGGGGCTCGGCCGCCTCAGCCTGTCCGAATCCCGGCGGGGGGAAGGCGTGTGAGGGGGTGGGCGGCTCCTCGGCCCAAAATCACCCCTCTCATAGGACTTTCCACCGAGCTGGTGAGGGGTCTAGAGACCCCCTCAGCACTTCTTTTGACACAGCCCAGGGCTCGTTTGACCTTCTGGGCCGCGCTTTGCTGGTCGCTCGCCCTACAGCGGCTGTTCCAAAGCGGGGCAACCGGCCAAGGGCAATGTTGTGGTAAAGGGGAACGGACTGATTTCTGTATTCAGGCTCCTTGTAAGCCCGAGCGGCCGCTCTACCAGCGCCACTCACGGGGAGGCGGCGGGCGGAGGCGGGAGGAAAGGCCGCTGCTCGCCCTTCAGAGCCTCCCCCGCGTCCCGCCGCTTACCCCCCCCGGCGCTGCCCGGCCCCGCTGTGGTAAAGGCGAACGGACTGATTTCTGTATTCACGCTCCTTGTAAGCCCGAGCGCGGCCGCTGTACCAGCGCCCCTCACGGGGAGGCGGCGGGCGGAGGCGGGAGTCGAGCGTTCCCCTTGCCGGGACAGCGGCAAGAGGATTTTTGGCACCGGTGGCTCCAACTTCCAGGGCTTGGTTGTGGCTGAGCGTGTCTGTGCTCTGCGCATGGACGGCTGTGTGGAAATAGCCGCCCTAAATGGAAACGGTGCCTTCCTGCAGAGGAGGGAAAAGAGTTGTTAGGGTCTGAGAAACTCGCAATCATTTATTGTTATTTAGGCAGTTGTTCTATCACCTGATGACCCGTTCCCACGCGGGAAGGGGAATCAGGGAAAACCAAGGAAACAAGGGGGTTGAAATATAAATAGATTTAATAGAATAAGACTAAATAATTAATAACACTAAAGAGGCCGGGGCCGGCCGTTGGGAGCCGCCTCAGGCTGCCCGAATCCCGGCGGGGATAGTGCGTGTGAGGGGGTGGGCGGCTCCTCGGCCCAAAATCACCCACGGCGGTGTCGAGCGTTCCCCTTGCCGGGACAGCGGCAAGAGGATTTTTGGCACCGGTGGCTCCAACTTCCAGGGCTTGGTTGTGGCTGAGCGTGTCTGTGCTCTGCGCATGGACGGCTGTGTGGAAATAGCCGCCCTAAATGGAAACGGTGCCTTCCTGCAGAGGAGGGAAAAGAGTTGTTAGGGTCTGAGAAACTCGCAATCATTTATTGTTATTTAGGCAGTTGTTCTATCACCTGATGACCCGTTCCCACGCGGGAAGGGGAATCAGGGAAAACCAAGGAAACAAGGGGGTTGAAATATAAATAGATTTAATAGAATAAGACTAAATAATTAATAACACTAAAGAACCAATATTGATACTGATATAAAATACACACGGATTACACTCAGCCAGTGCTGTCAGCAGGAAGCTGTGTGCTCCCAGCAGGGACAGCCAATGTGGGACACCATGAGCCCTGCGGCTTCAGGAGGAAGGGAAGGGCTCAGGGGTCCGGCACCGGGGCAAGGAGTTCTCAGGATCACAGTCGTCAAGGGAAAGAGAACTCCTCAGCAAACTTTCTAATTTATATTGAATGTGACGTTCGTGGTATGAAATGATCCTGTTGGCAGCTCGGGTCAAGTGCCCAGGTCTTACTCCTCATCCCTACACCTGGCAAGGCTCAATAGCACTGAGACCTTGAAGCCCACATACCATAGCTGGCTAGAAAGTAAGTATTTTCACAAATTCAGGCACTAGAGTCTTCTGAAAGTGCACTTTTCCCAAACATTAGAAGATCAATTAGTTCTGTGTCACTCAAACCAGGACAAGAGTCAAGCTCAAAGGTAACATGTGAACTAACTGGGGAAGGGGCTGGAGAGAAACCAAATTGAAAAGGAAACAGTCCTTGAAATGGAGCAAAGCTTCTGCCCACCTTCTTCTGTTAGACAGTTAGACTGAGAACATGTTTTTCGTTGCCATGTTGCTCTAATGTGCTGGAGTGGCCACAAAGCATCATCCCAGCAAGCTCCTCCAATAGTGTGGATATTTCAGCCAGGTTTCTGAAGGATAGGAGCTTGAATCATGCCACCAAACTGTCCCGTTACCTCCCATCCCTACCTTCCCACAACTGCTGAACATGCTGCCCTTTGGACCAAGTCTGGTCACAAGAGAGAGAGATCCCCAAGACAGTTTCAACAGCTTTTACAAAAACAGGAGAAGGACAATAAAACCCCAAAGCAATGCCCCAGCTCCTCGGAAGGCTTGGGCTCACATCCCTGCAGATCGAGCTCAGGTCCTTATGGAAGGGCTTTTTTATTTTCTAGTGCCGTTCAGTTTCGCCATATAATTTTCTTCTTTCCCTGACACCCAATTTGCTTTTCTTTGTCAGAGGGCTGCGTAGAAATTTTCCGGTCTGGCTTAGCATCACTTTACTGGGGAAGCGGTGTCAGCGAGTGTGAGTTTCCCCTCCTAGCAAAATGAGAGATGCTGTTTTGAAGAGCTGTGCTGAAGCATGAAAGTGACCTGCGCTCAACTCCCCTCCCCTCTGCAATCTTGCGTGCTAGTCATGGGCGATACCACTTGAATCTGACATAACGTGATAACAAAGACAGATTTCCTGGTATCACCAGCAGCATGATAGCGTTAACCCCTTTCAGTGTAGGTCCAGTGAACTGTGTGTGGCAGAGGCTCTTGCTTTTCCCTCCCGCCTCTCCTCCTGCCAATCTTATCTCCACGGTGATCTCTTCCTCATGGAGGATGAAACCATAGAATCGTAGAATGGTCGGGGTTGGAAGGGACCTTAAAGATCATCTAGTTCCAACCCCCTGCCATGGGCAGGGACACCTCCCACTAGAGCAGGTTGCTCAAAGCCCCATCCAGCCTGGCCTTGAACACTTCCAGGGATGGGGCATCCACAGCTTCTCTGGGCAAGCTGTTCCAGTGTGTCACCAACCTCACAGCAAAGAATTTCTTCCTAATATCTAGTCGTAATGGCAGGAGGTGGTGGAGAACCGCCTGAGACTTGGTCTCCTGCCCCTCTTTTACCTCTATAGGGACATGGGATTTCCTCTATGTCACCTCTCTTGTCTTTTTCCTTTCTGATTGCAAGACTCCCAGGTGCACAAAATGCTCTTCTTCCCCACTTTGCTGTGATGAGGGCATCCAGCAGCAAGGAAGAAAGGAGATGTGTGGTCCCTGGCAGACCCTCTTGGCCATTGTCTCTCAGTGGCTCCCTGTGCCGGCTTGGGGAGGATGAGAGCAGGGGTACAGCCAGACAGGGGCAGACCCCCCAAAAGGTGGATCACCCTTGCAGCGATGGCATTTAGTGCTGCAATGTCAGGTGGAGGCGGGACAGCGTGGTGACAGCAGATCAGCAGAAGTCCGAACACGCTTTTGTCAGCTCTAGTAGTTGAGCATCGGTTTTGCATAAACCATTGTTGGAAAGCCAAGGGTAACCCGGCCTGCTCATTGCCAAATGACATGTGTAAATGATCATAGGAACACGGGGAGGTCAATTAAATCCCATTACCCTCTTTTCCCTTCTATATTCTGGGAAAAATACTATTCATCTGTCTTGCGCTTTTAAAATTGGAAGCCTTTTAAAGATGCTATGTTTTCCATGAATTGGATTAAGCCAGTGCAACCTTTTCCAGGATGCCCTGAAGCTATTTATGGGCCCAACTCCCACTGACATCCTCCAGAGTTAAGCACCCAGGTGCTTATGAGGAGCATTTCAGGTGGCACTGGGCATCCACAGGCAGGCCACCAAATGGGGCCCATGGTACTGTCAGCCTCTTTGCCTGAGACCTTGTATTTCTTACTGTAGTTTGGAAAGCTGACATGGACCCTGTGTCACTGTGCCAGGCAGGCCCCTCATCCTCCACCGCTGCTGAGGCTGTGAGGTATGTGGTAGCACTTGGCTCCCTGGTGAAGCAGGTGCCAGGGACATGTGTGCCTAGCCTGATGTTGCCTGCAGCTCCTACCTGTCTCATGTGCACCTACCTCTTGGGAAAAGAACTGTCCTGGCCTGCTGCTCCACACAGAGCCAACAACGTGCCCACATGCAGAGATGCAGCTGTTGGGCCAATTTGGCTCCTCCCGTAGGAGGAGGAGAACCCAAGGAAGAACCTGCTTTCCAGCAACAAGAAAGTCTTGGGGAACCTGCACCAACACTATATTGATCTACGAATAGAACTAAGCCAGCAAACACTGAATAGCTTTCACGGGTGAAAAATGAATTTTCTGATGTCTGTTCATTGCACCATTATGTTTAACAAAATTGCAGTGTAGGTCATGGCCCAGCAGTGCACAGTGTTTTAATCCACCATAAATCCATCATCCTGAGCCTCAGCATTACGCGAGATGGAAAGTAGGTTTTGGTGAAAATGGATTGAATAGCCCTGGTATATCTACACAAGATCATTTTGTCAAGAAAACCTCTCTCTGCAGTCTTGAAGGGCCTGAAGCACCCCAGCTCCCCTTTCTCAACCGCCTCAAAAGCACATCTTGGGCAGCCGCTTCCTTCTCCTGGGGAGGCCTGAGAGCCCCTGCTACCACCATCCTATTGAACCAGGGGAAATCCTTGGCCTTATGCATGCGGATCTTCCCCAGGTTACAGGGAAGCTCCTCATGAAGGGTAAAGACCCCTTGCCTGTCCCAACCCCCTCATCAGAGATGCTCATTAGAGGTTGCTTGTCCAAGCCTGGTTCTCCACCTTTGAAATCAAACCTTTCCTTTCCCCCAGTGAGCCATTGGTGAGCATCACCAACAGGAACAGGAAAGTCAAAAAAGGGAGAAAGATCTGGAAAAAATGAAGGGCCGGAAGCTAAGGTGAAGCTGCAGGGAGCTATGAGAGCAGGTCCAGCCATAAATCAAAGAAAATGGTCAATAAATGGCATCAAGTATGGGAGGCCTGTCTCCAGACATCAGGAGAACATTACACTGAGTGCTTGTTGCCATCCAGTTCGGACGCTGTTAAGTTCTGTGCAACTTGGAGAAGATTACCAAGAAATGTATGTGTGGAGTCGCTGGAATTCAGGAAAGTAAAAATGTTTCCGTGCTGGGAAGCAGCACACACCCTGTGTGCTCCATACACTGTCTAGGAGAAATTAGAGGGGAAAAAAACATGGGGAAGACAGCTGGGAGACGGAGTTTGAAGAAGGTTTGAAGCAAAGAGATGTGCTCACCAGTACTCCAGGCAGGAGCAGGTGATCTGTCACAAAAAGTGGTGTGGTTTCAGTATTGGCTTTTTTCTTCACTCTTTATACGTCCTCACAGTTCGTTTGCTGCCATACGTTGAGCAGATGTTTCCACCAGAGTGGGACTGTTTTCTGAGCATTACACAGTCACTTTGTGATGAAGGACACACAGGAATGGTTCAAGATGCTCTCCCCTGCGTGTGTCACATTGGGCTTGCTGATGAGGTGCCCGCTCTGCTGCTGGGGAGGGGGGTCCCAGCACTCTCCCCCAGAGCGGAGCCTGCCAGTGGTGCCGATGCCACTCCTGGGGAAGGATGTGGTGCTGTGTGTGGGCACCAACTCCAACCTGATGGGGCTTATCCCTCCGGACGCTCTCCATGCTCGAGGAGAGGGACTCGGTGACAACAACTCCTTCCTGAACCACCGTCTGCAGGAGCATGTCCTTTCCCTGAGTACAGGCAGAGCTTGGGTAAAATAACCTTAA